ACACGCCACTTGAGACACGCATTATTGGTGACACAAAGCACTTGTGGCACGCACCACTTGGGAAACGCACTACTGGAGGCACGCACCACTTGTGAGAAGTACTACTGGACGCACGGAACACTTGGGACACGCACTACTGGAGGCACACACCACTTGAGACACGCATTGTTGGGGACACACAGCACTTGTGGCACGCACCACTTGAGAAACGCACTACTGGAGGCACTCACCACTTGGGAGACGCACTACTGGACGTACTCAACACTTGGGACTCGCACTACTGGAGGCACGCAACACTTGAGAAATGCACTACTGGAGGCACGCTCCACTTGGGAAACACACTACTGGAGGCACGCACCACTTGGGACACGCACTACTGGAGGCACGCAACACTTGGGACATGCACTACTGGAGGCATGCATGCACTTTGGACATGCACTACTGGAGGCATGCGCCTCTTTGGAAACGCACTACTGGAGGCACGCACTACTTGGGACACGAATTACTGGAGGCACGCACCACTTGGGACACGCACGACTGGAGGCACGCACCACTTGGGACACTCGCTACTGGAGGCACGCAACACTTGGGACATGCACTACTGGAGGCACACAACACTTGGGAAATGCACTACTGGAGGCGCGCACCACTTGGGACACACACTACTGGAGGTACGCACTACTTGGGACACGCAACACTTGGGAAACGCACTTCTGGAGGCACACACCACTTGGGACACACACACTACTATAGGCACGCACCACTTGGGACACGCAGTATTGTAGGCACGCACCACTTGGGACACGCACTGCTGGAGGCACCCAACACTTGGGACACACACTACTATAGGCACGCACCACTTGGGAAATGCGCTACTGGAGGCACGCACCACTTTGGACACGCACTACTGGAGGCACGCACCACTTGGGAAATGCGCTACTGGAGGCACGCACCACTTGGGACACGCACTACTGGAGGCACGCACCACTTGGTGCACGCACTACTGGAGGCACGCTCCACTTGGGAGACGCACTACTGGACGCATGCAACACTTGTGGCACGCACTACTGGAGGCACGCAACACTTTGGACATGCACTACTGGAGGCACGCTCCTCTTGCTACACGCACTGCTTGAGACACGCACGACTTGGGACACGCACTACTGGAGGCACTCAAAACTTGGGACAGGCACTACTGGAGGCACGCACCACTTGCGACATGCACTATTTGATGCACACACCACTTGGGACATGCAGTACTGGAGGCACGCAACACTTTTGACACGCACTACTGGAGGCACGCACCACTTTAGACACGCATTATTGGGGACACACAGCACTTGTGGCGCGCACGACTTAGGAAACGCACTACTGGAGGCGCGCACAACTTGGGAGACGCACTACTGAACGCTCGCATCACTTGGGACACGCACTACTGGAGGCCCGCAACACTTGGGAAACGTACTACTGGAGGCATGCAGCACTTGGGAGACGCACTACTGGACGCACGCATCACTTGGGACACGCACTACTGGAGGCCCGCAACACTTGGGAAACGCACTACTGGAGGCATGCACCACTTGGGACATGCACTACTTGAGGCACGCACCACTTGCGACACGCACTGCTTGAGGCACGCACCACTTGGAACACGCACTACTGGAGGCACTCAACACTTTGGACAAGGACTACTGGAGGCACGCACCACTTGCGACATGCACTATTTTAGGCACACACCACTTGGGACATGCAGTACTTGAGGCACGCAACACTTGGGACACGCACTACTGGAGGCACGCACCACTTGCGACACGCACTACTTGAGGCACGCACCGCTTGAGACACGCATTTTTGGGACACACAGCACTTGTGGCACGCACTACTTGGGACACGCACCACTGGGGACACGGAACACTGGGGACACACACTCACACACCACTGGGGACACGCAACACTGGGGACACTCACACACACACACACAACTGGGGACACGCAACACTGGGGACACACACACACACACACACACACCACTGGTGACACGCAACACTGGGGACACACACACACACACACCACTGGGGACACGCATCATTGGAGCTACACACGCCCACCACTGGTTACACTCACACACACACACACTACTGGGGACACACTCACAACACACACCACTGGGGACACACACACCACACGCTACTGGGGACACACACACACACACACACACACACCGCTGGGGACACACACACAACACCACTGGGGACACACACACACATACACTGCTGGGAACACATACACAAACACACACACCCCTGGAGACACATAGTCACACGCACGCCACTGGGGACACGCACCATTGGAGACACACATACACCACTTGGGACACGCACCACTGTGGACACACACACACCACTGGTGACACGCACACATCACTGGGGACACGCACCACCGGGGACACACACACACGCTCCACTGGGGTGGGGATATGCAAATGAATTTTAGCTAACTCAGGGCAACGAATGTGGCAGAAGGTATGCTAGGTGCTAGGAAGCTAAGCTGAGCCCCGGAATGTTGCAGGAGGCATGCTAGGTGCTAGGAAGCTAAGCTGAGCCCCGGAATGTGGCAGGAGGTATGCTAGGTGCTAGGAAGCTAAGCTGAGCCCCGGAATGTTGCAAGAGGCATGCTAGGTGCTAGGAAGCTAACCTAGGCCCCGGAATGTGGCAGGAGGTATGCTAGGTGCTAGGAAGCTAAGCTGAGCCCCGGAATATGGCAGGAGGTATGCTAGGTGCTAGGAAGCTAAGCTGAGCCCCGGAATATTGCAGGAGGCATGCTAGGTGCTAGGAAGCTAATCTGAACCCCGGAATGTGGCAGGAGGTATGCTAGGTGCTAGGAAGCTAACCTAGGCCCCGGAATGTGGCAGGAGGTATGCTAGGTGCTAGGAAGCTAAGCTGAGCCCCGGAATGTGGCAGGAGGTATGCTAGGTGCTAGGAAGCTAAGCTGAGCCCCGGAATGTTGCAGGAGGCATGCTAGGTGCTAGGAAGCTAAGCTGAGCCCCGGAATGTTGCAGGAGGCATGCTAGGTGCTAGGAAGCTAAGCTGAACCCTGGAATGTGGCAGGAGGTATGCTAGGTGCTAGGAAGCTAAGCTGAACCCCGGAATGTGGCAGGAGGTATGCTAGGTGCTAGGAAGCTAAGCTAGGCCCTGGAATGTTGCAGGAGGCATGCTAGGTGCTAGGAAGCTAAGCTAGGCCCCGGAATGTGGCAGGAGGCATGCTAGGTGCTAGGAAGCTAAGCTAGGCCCCGGAATGTTGCAGGAGGCATGCTAGGTGCTAGGAAGCTAAGCTAGGCCCCGGAATGTGGCAGGAGGCATGCTAGGTGCTAGGAAGCTAAGCTAGGCCCCGGAATGTGGCAGGAGGCATGTTAGGTGCTAGGAAGCTAAGCTAGGCCCCGGAATGTGGCAGGAGGTATGCTAGGTGCTAGGAAGCTAAGCTAGGCCCCGGAATGTTGCAGGAGGCATGCTAGGTGCTAGGAAGCTAAGCTAGGCCCCGGAATGTTGCAGGAGGCATGCTAGGTGCTAGGAAACTAAGCTGAGCCCCGGAATGTGGCAGGAGGTATGCTAGGTGCTAGGAAGCTAAGCTAGGCCCCGGAATGCCCTCCAGTTAGGCTAGGCTCGCACCTCACTCTTATTTTCTTGACTTTCAATTTCATCAATTTCAACGTCACTTTCAACATTAAAAAGGTTCCTCAGTTTCTTTCTCCTATTAATATTATATTCGGATAAATTAAAACAACAGGTAAGTAACATTTTGCGTTATTAGTAATTGTTATCAAGATATCTTTGAAGGAGAGTTGTTGTTATCTGCCAGACATGTTGTTGAATGTTCATGTATGTTAACTGCCAGACATGTTGTTGAATGTTCATGTATGTTAACTGCCAGACATATTGTTGAATGTTCATGTATGTTATCTGCCAGACATGTTGTTGAATGTTCATGTATGTTAACTGCCAGACATGTTGTTGAATGTTCATGTATGTTATCTGCCAGACATGTTGTTGAAAGTTCATGTATGTTAACTGCGGCTAGACCAGGAATTTTCCCGTCTGTGTGTGAAGAACATACCTGAATAAGTCTTAGTCATTGCTTATACCACAACAGGAACAGTGAATCCTACTCATTACGACCACCATAACAGTGACAGATGATCCCAATAATTTTAAACATCACAACAGGAACAGATGATCCTAGCCGTTAGGAACACCACAAAGCAAACAGAAGAGGTGTCATTATATACTTCACAACGGCAACAAAGAATGACAGCCGTCATGAACACCAGAAAACAACAGAGAATCCGTCATTATATATACCACAACATCAACACATGATACTAGTCATTTTGAACCCCAAAGAGCAACAGAGGTTTCTCGCTTGTATTGAGAAACACCATCAAAGAGCAACAGAGGTTCCTAGCTTGTACTGAGAAACACCATCAAAGAGCAACAGAGGTTCCTAGCTTGTACTGAGAAACACCATCAAAGAGCAACAGAGGTTCCTTGCTTGTATTGAGAAACACCATCAAAGAGCAACAGAGGTTCCTAGCTTGTACTGAGAAACACCATCAAAGAGCAACAGAGGTTCCTAGCTTGTACTGAGAAACACCATCAAAGAGCAACAGAGGTTCCTTGCTTGTATTGAGAAACACCATCAAAGAGCAACAGAGGTTCCTCGCTTGTATTGAGAAACACCATCAAAGAGCAACAGAGGTTCCTTGCTTGTACTGAGAAACAACATCAGAGCAACAGAGGTTCCTCGCTTGTATTGAGAAACACCATCAAAGAACAACAGAGGCTCCTTGCTTGTACTGAGAAACAACATCAGAGCAACAGAGGCTCCTCGCTTGTATTGAGAAACACCATCAAAGCAGCAGACAGAGAATTCCGCCATTATGCAACATATAGCTGAATCCAATACAGCGTTTGGAGTCTTGAAGACAGAATTACACCATGGATTACCTTATGTTCTTCAGAGTCCTGGGTGGCAGCAGTCAGCAGCACGACGCCCAGCAGCAATACTTGCACCATCCAGCGCACCATTGCTTTTTCAGTTTGTGATGCACGAAACTCTGTTGAAGAACTGATTGTGGTATCTACTGGCTGTGGTTGGTGAAGTCAACTGATGCTTTTGCCTTATCGTTCACTATCATATCTGACGCTGAAGTACACGTGATAAATATTCCTCTCCCAAGCTTTTATCAACCTTTGTTTTATCATTGGATAGTTTTGAAAGTTCCATACGTGCGACACTGTGTTATGCCACATACCTTGAGTGATTCACTCATTACTCACCTTTATTACTATTTCCACTCTCAGCCTCACGTATTCCGTAAATTGGTTAATCAATAACAACAATACTTTTTCCCATTTTCGTTAAAAATAATACGTTGTATTCTGCTCGATTACACTGGATCTCCGGGAATACTGAGGAGAAATTATATATATTTCTATATTAGTTAATTTCGACACTGGTGTTATATTTGTTAATATATCTTATGATTTACAATCTTGTAGCATTGAAATATCTTATCCTTTAGTGTGATGATTGTTGGTACAAAGATACGGAAAGCTGTTTTTAGTAGCAGAGGTGGATGCTTCAGCAGTGTGCTGCTACCCACCCAGTGTTACATGATGGTAACAAAGACTTTCAGTGCTTTCCTGTATCAGCAGTGTGCTGCTACCCACCCAGTGTTACATGATGGTAACAAAGACTTTCAGTGCTTTCCTGTATCAGCATGTTGTGCTACCAATGTTACATTACGTACAAGATTCAGGCTTCCTGTATACAGCAGTTATGCTACCACCAGTGTTCGTGGACAAGACTTTCAGTGTTTCTGTATCAGAGTGTGTGTACACCAGTGTTACATGATGGTAACAAGACTTCATGCTTTCCTGTCATAACAGTTGAATGACTGTAAGTACGTAGGGGTGTGATACAAGAGTCAGGGTGAAGATTATGGTTAAGGTGACATAGTTGAATGTAGAAGAATGTCTCTGAATGTCGAGATGACTGTGTGAGGAACAATGTCAGTGTAATGAGTAAGGCTGGAATAGAGGTCTGAAGTATATAGATATTAAAGTATTCTGTAGTTACGGATAAAAAATAAAATAATTCAGTGTTATCAGTTATCATTGTTTGTGATCGTTTATTGTATTTGTTTCTAATGACTAAGATGCCTTCTCTCTAATTTTTATTTTTAAAGTGGTGAACGGGTAAACCAGTGGAAGGCCTCTATCACATGACCAAAACCTCCAGTGGTGGGTCCTCATTTGACACTTGTCTTGTTTCCTGAAGAACCTGACTTAACACCCTCCCCAGATACCTAATAACTTAGGTTTTAATTCCCCATTCGTTAAGATTCCTAAACTAAAAAAATATAAAACTATACTGAACTCTATGATGGAAATTGGTCAAAACTCTTCCCTTGGTGATAAACAATAGATGCAAACTTAACAAGCAAGTGTACTATGCAGACAGGGCAAATGTTAGCCTCTCATACTGGCTTATCAGTCATCTTATCCTCCTCTTACAATCAGTAGATTCTGAGGAGTGTTTAAGGAGATCATGCTTAGTATAGGCCAATAGGCCGATAATATAACTACTGGCCTAGTATAAGCCTATGTTTTTAATACGACAAATTCTGCCAGACAGGTGGTTCAGTGCAGATTCAAGAAACCCAGTTTCTTGGGGTTCTATTCATATGAAGATTCTCTCACTTCCAACAAGAAAACCTTGCAGTAACACCGTCCTAAACAACAGTCAATCTAGCAGCTCTTTGGAAACGTTATATCATAAGACCCTGAACAATGCTCTTCTCCAGACTGAGGGACTGACCACCTCAAAACTTTAAGGGTGATGGACTGATTACATCGTCTTCAAGTCTCTTCTGCTTCTATCAACTTTTCTGTACTCGACTGAAGAAGCCTACTGTGTAGGCGAAACGTTTCGAAATGAAGATACCTAACTGTTGCATATGTCTTACCTAACATCATAAGACCCTCCAAGCAGCATCGTCTGAAAAAAGAGACTGACCGAATTACAGCAAATTATGCACTTCCCACAAGCAAGTTCCTTTAACAGTTCTTACTTCTACATTGTGCACACACATGCAGTGGTTCTCATTCTTCCTACCATTATTCACAATACATTTCAATATATTTGTGGCAGGGTGAGAGCTGACAAAAATAAAGAAGAGAAATATCTCATCCGTGACGAAAATAACAAAACCTATAGAAGTGAAATTGACCATATTTAGCCGACGAGACATTAACAGAGCACACAGAAGCGAGAAGGAGGAAGGTGCAATATATAAGAAGAGGCCCAGGGTAAGGAAGCAGAGCAAAACTACACACATATCAACCCAACACAAAACAACAACAACAACAGCAGCAGCAACACAACAGACATCAACAAACAACAACAAGACAACAACAACAGGCAGCAGCAACAACAACAACACAACAACAACAACAACAACAACAACAACAACAACAGAGGCAGTAGTAGTAGTAGTAACAGTTGTAGTAGTAGTAGCAATAGTTGTTGTAGTGGTAGTAGTGGTAATGACAATAGTATCTGTGGAATTGGTGGTAGTAGCTGAGGTAATAGTAACAGTAGTAATAATAGCGGTGGTAGTCAATATACGTGGAAAAATTTTCTCCAGGAGGGGGAATATCAGCCCCTTCTAGCCTCTTTCAGTCTTTTCAGCCCTCTGAGGGACTCTGCCCTCCAGAGGGGCTGATGGCATCTTGGTTCTGCATCAACACTTTAATTGATTCTAGATGCAGAACGAGCGTGTGTCACGGTCATGTGACTTCTTTGCAAGAGATCAGTGTTGCAACCAATGTTAGTTAACAAGAGTAATTAATTTTCTGTAGCACAACAGGAAAGATACAGGGAAACTTCTACCTCACTTTATTCACATGTTGGATATAATGAACTCTCAGTGATTGAGATATATCAAGAAATCAAGCATTTGTGTTGCAAACTGTTACAGTTCAGGAAGGAAGGCAGATCTGCTTGTATCAGCGAATCCTTTATATGAGGGTAAGTCAGGCCAGAGGGGCACTGCGGGGTAGATTCCTTATAGACTTCGTCGAGGCAACTCGTGCGTCACATTGTAATAACAAAGACTGTAGTGATCGCGCGTTTTTGTGCATAAAAGAATCTCGAAAAACACAGCAAAACACTTACAGAGAAGTGAGAACAGCTTGTTTAGTGATATGACTGTGAATAATAAACAATACTTGATGAACAGTGTATAACAATGAGTGTTGCGAATTTCCTGATGGAGCACAGTGCGACATTCTTCAAAGAACATGTCTGCTTCAATCAAGACAACTATATCCGAGTTAAATATGGGTCCGATACAGACACCCAGGTATGTCTGGTCATAAATGTTACTAGTTAGATCAGCTGCGCAGCAGATAGCTAGTTCATTTTTCTCTAGACTTACAGTACACTCGACACTCGGTTATGGAGGGGTTTTTAGCCCAACACAAGTGAGTATAAGGATCCAGTCAGTATTCAGTTATTCTGTGGAAATACTGATACAACACCCTCTATGGGTAATTACACTTACCATTAATCTTTATTACAGCCCAATGGTGGTTACATCGACGACTACAAGAACTGGCTGTGGACCAGTGTAGTCGTCATCAAGCTAAGTCCCATTACAGTTCACTTATTATATGACTTTGCGTGTTTGTATGTACTAACCCCAACAATATACATGAGAATGAAGGAACACTGAAAACTGGCCCGCAGGGGTAAGAAAACATCCCTTATGGGACAAAACTACCGCTTAAGTAGAAGCCAGGAAAGGCAATGAAAATATGGGATATGTGAAGAGATAACGAGATGAAAAGTTTAGAGCATTTGACAATGTAATGAGAAAGAAAGGCATCTACATGGACTAACATTCATGTTAGGAATGTTGTATATAACGTATGCTGAAGCAAGATAGCGACCGTAGAGGCTAAAGAGGTAGACAGTTTTGACAGAGAACCAGTTAATGGAATGACTGTGATCTCCAACATGACATAAAAGGGCTTTGTTAGTGTCGGCAAGACAACATTTCTGCTCTTTAAGTCGACCAGTTTCTCCAAGGTACTGGAGAGGACAATAGGAGCAGAAAATGAAGTATACACAGGAAGCATCTGTGGCAAGAGGAGTGGAATGAACCAATTTACTATGAAATGCATTAGTTTGACGGAAAGTAAGTTTAATGTCTAGAGAACGGAGGGTATTCTTAAGATTTAAGAGACTGGTAACATACGGGAAGCAAAGAACAGGAGACTTAACAGGAGAAGATAATTTAGGAGAGTACAAAGAACATTTAGCATGTCAGTAACAATAGAAATAAGAGTGGAAATTTCTGAGTCAAGAAAGTGAGGAATCTCAGATGCTGAGGACACGGAGACAAATAGAAACAAGAATACTTTCCCTGACAGAGGGAACATGGTAACAAAGGTATCTGTACAGCATTAATATGGAACAAAAGGAAAAAGAAAATCCTACCATCGAGCGATGTACAGGCACATCAAGCAAAGGAACCAGAGGAAGGTTCCCATTCATTGTTGAACTTCATGGAAGGAACAAGGAGAGAAAATCTCTTCACTCGTAGGAATCTTTCATACACACACTTACTTTGGCAGACACTCAATGATTTTCCACTGTTGCAACCTCTGGAAAAGTGTTGATTGTAACAAGAAAGTTGTAAAGCTATCATTCACCTTCCCCAGGGATTGTTCTTGCATATTTATATATGCAATAAGAGAAGTCACGAAAGTGCTTGGAATTTCACTATTCTTTCACAGTGGTTGTTTTTACATATTCTGATATTACCTGTTTACTGTGATCTTATTGGGGACCCTCATCCTCAGAGAAAAGAATAAACTTGCTTCAGGAAAAACACAAGGTTCTTCCTGAAGTTGTTTGAAAATTTTCTCCAACCACCCCCTGTATTTAGTATATATTTTATTTAAAGTCAAAATTCAATAGAGAGTAAAACAACATAGATAACAACTCAGCTACATCTAGAATACTTCGTCCAGCTGACGGTGGTGGGCCGCATGCCCAAAATGCTGCAGGCATTCCCCCTCTGGATCGCAACA